GCCGTTGTAGCAAATGAACCGTTTTATATTGGTCTCGATTTAATTGACATCTTGTTGGGACAAGGTTATGTGCAGCACAAATATTGGAAATGTTTAGATAGACGCAAATGGAAACTGTAATCTCAGTTATGTAAGGCTATAATAAGCCCAAGATTCTTCCATACGTAAATGAGCACACAACAAGTACCGATTAACATTAATTTCATGCAATTTCCGTACATAAAAAGTCATAAAATCAAGGAATAGGTACATTTTTCACAGATCCCGCTCCGAAACTAATTAAAGCCTTACTGGCACTTACTTGAATATCTAATTGAAAACTAATTAACTCAATATAGGTCATTATCGTTAAATATATAGATTAAAGTAGCGTTAAAGCCAATTAAAATAGTCCGATTAATTAGCTGAGGAGGCTATTAAGGTTTATTCTTTTCACGTTAAGGTTTCTCGTTGACAAATTACGAGTGCGGTTCCTTTCATGGCGAGGTTCGTGGCGAGAGGGCAATTGTCTCCGTACAATGCGATTACACACACAGATAATTCTAGAAAAACCTTTAAAAGCAAATTAGAAGCGATGATTTATTACTGAACCGCTTACGAAATGTAACTGAGCGGTCATTTAGGGTGTGTGTAGATTGACGGATTTAGAAGAAGCTGAGGCTGTTTTATTATATATTTTTTTGTTTATGTATTTTTAGAATATTCAGGAATTCAACAACAGAGCCCTAACAAAAGATTTAAAGAACACCTTCGAAATAAATAGACTTTGCAAATATTTTCTATTTCTCCTCTTTAATTCCCCCATTTAAGACACGTCTCCAGAATTTACTCAACCGAACAATGAAAACTATGCGATAATAACCATCATAATTTCGTATTACATCAGCCGGCCACTGCCGTACACACGTCCTAACCGTCAAATATCTTTTCCGCCAGTGTTTCCCGATCGCGTGCCGTACTGCAATTTAAATGTGCTCCAAATCTGAAAATAATTCGTTTCGCCGCGATGACGGACGGCCGTGCGAATTAGAACATTTATTGGATGAACGTTTGACAGGCTAGTTTGGTGATCTCACAATTATATTTAATCTGTGATGGATTGTATGTTTGTATTATTATATGTTATGGATCGTAGAGAAAACGGTAGTGTGAAGATAACAGTTAGGAAGGATGTCAATATTGATTGATGGAACCATAAAAGATTACAGTTGCAAAATTCCTTTCCCACTAAATTGTACAGTGACATCAAATTAATCTGTGCCTTACTAAAACAGCGTCCGTCTAATCGGTGGACACCATCAAAGGACAGAAGGTGAACTAAAAAAGATATCAAGAGTATAGTTACGAGTAGCGGCGGGTACAGACGGCCAGCTAATGGCAGCAGTGATTGATGTTGATCGCCTGTCTTCGGCAAAAACGTGTGAACCCGGCTTAGCGGCTTTGCTCCAATTATTGCGTAACTCTTGGATGCTCTGTACGTTATCATTACAGTTGTTGCTTTGTGAGGTCAGCAGAGGTCTCGGGCGTGAGGTGAAGGATATTTTAAGGGTCTGTTTAATGACCTTCGTGCAATTCTTACTCATAAAGTTGAATAGTGTGTATTGTTTGCCTTTCTTGTTGTGTTTTTTTCGTAGAGCTGGCTATTATTGTATCTTTCAGTGGTGAGTCAACCAACTACTTCGAAATCATTGTACGTAGACCAGTAGCTTAATAATAAAAAAGCTATTGGTGAATAAAGTACGAACGATAAAAAAATTATAGACTTGAATGACAGAAATTAAATTTATAATCTAAAACAATACACCTCCAAAACAACCTTGAGCTGATGCCCTAAGAACTTCAATATCATTGTATCCCCCACTAACAACACCAATATATCTAAATCACAGAAAAACCGAAAACAAACCTCAACAATTCATTGTAACCTAAATAACCACGGCCCATTACCCACCAACCAGCGGATAACCATCTATGGTAACCAAAAGGTTTATGGTGCACCAAGCAACGTTGCCAAACCGCTACTTAAGTTCACAAGCCGGAAAATAGCCGACGAAATATTGAAACTGATTTGTTAGAATCCATTTTGAAAATACTACGCAACTTATAGATCTAGGTTAAGACGGTATCGTGAAATTTAGATCAGTGGCTGCTGAAAATTAGATGGATTTTTATCTCAGCTCTTGGGTTAGTTTCAGTTAGTAAAATTATATAATAAAAAATACAGTAATAAAAATCAAATGTCTGTGAACGATATGAAATGTAAACGGTGTGACATATTTAATACGTCGTCTTATTTTCTTGATAATTATTGCACATGAAACAATTCCCTGATGATGCATGAACAGTGTGCTAAATTAATTTACATCTTTTCCGACAATTTTCCTGGTATTTATCAGGTAATAATAACTATTACGTAATGCGAGAGACTTCCACTATTTAAAACGATTGCAACAACCTACCGCCGTAAAGCCACGTCGTATAAAAAATAAATCCATCAAGCAACAAACAATCAGCCGTCCAGTCCGTGGGTTCGAGTCGCGTGCGACGTATTTACATACAAACGGGTGCGCAGGCGCACGCCACATTTAATTACACGACACGAGACAAATTGACGACCGCCCGCTAACGATCCCCGCCACTGAGCTCATGGGATAAAATAGGTCTTTTTATGTTTTAATTGAATAGTTGTACTGCTTCTTAACTTTTAATGACTTTGATATTTTATTGAATAAATTAAGGATTAATAAAAATACTTTGGTTGTGCGCGGTGGCATCTGGTGAGATCATGTTATACTGGTTATTTATTTATAAATAATTATTATTTATTGAGATGTTAATGTCTAGAATTTAGATATGTCTAAGGTATATGAGCTCATTGTGAGCTGTATATTTCGAAACCAATTTGTTATTTAGTGAAGATACTTAATTTGATTGTCGATAACCTTTCCTTTGGACAACCTACTTTATTAACCCAAAAACTGGTTGGTTACGTAACCTTGGTGGGCATTGTGGCGCGAGGTGACCGCGCGAGACATCCTGAGACAGTTTCCACCCTTGCACAACCCATTGTCGTTCAGTTCCACTTGCATTCATACAAATTGCGCTTGAGCAAGAAGGAAATTGTCGTTTGTACGGACTAGTGGGCTTAGTGCGGTGCCCTTGTCAGAACAAATGTAGCATTACATAGGATCGATTGGTAAACGATATTTTGTTCTAACTAAACGGTATTTGCTAACAGCATTATGTTTAACAAGTCTTATATAAAACAGTGCGATTGAAATAAAGCGATATATTGATTTACACGGTCGGAATTAAATATTACCTCGGTGGACTTGTTTAGCGCTTTCAATTGCAACTGCCAACCATGGGTTTGGTTCGCAGTTCTACTTGCATGAAATCATGGAATATTAAATATGAAATATCGGATTTGTTAGCCTAGATTGGCTAGGAATAATCAAGATTATTTATAGAAGTCTAAGACTGTACTATAGATATAGTATAGTGAATACATAATAATTAAATCAACTGTTATTTACGGAAGACATAGTGCTGTGCACCACTAGATTTCTACCGAAATTTGACTCGAATCAATACGCATCATTAATAAAAAATATAACGGATGATTATGCGTGTAGATCGAATTATCGGGGTGCATCTCCCGGACATTGGCGATATCTACACGGAGCCACATGGATCTGCATTCTAACAAGACACTATTCACAAGAGCATAAGGTCCAAAATCGGTAAATATAAATGTATTTACATTGTTAGGGCTAAGGATGGAACGAGTTAGAATAGGAATTAAAGTAATTATCGATATTAATAATCGATCACGGAATGTGTTTTTTCATAGTTGCGTTTTCCGAATGTGGCGGCTGAAACGCGATATTTTTCTCTCAATTCAAATTTGCATTAAATTTTATTCTACAACTTTAAACCAATCAGAACATGCTACATTTTTTTAAGATGGCGACGGATTTAGATTGGGACATTAATCGGATGTTCCATATCGATTCACTTGGCCGTACTAATTATATTCGAATAAGGTGTCAATCGATTTATCGTTATTTTAATGAAGTCACGCAAAGTTTATAAATCGCCATTTATAGCAGACGAGAAGTTTTAATTATGTGTTCATGTTTATTAAAGATGGAAGGTTGAGGACCTTTGGTATTGTTATAATTGGTTTCTGGTCAGGTCGGGTGCCTTGATTGAGGTTGATTTGTACTTTACCCAGGTGATGTAAGTGTCTTGATGTGATTGAATTTCATGGATGAGGGATTGAAATTAGTATGAGTTTATTGCTACGTCTCAAAGAGCATGGAGCTTATCTTTATTTGGTATACTTGGTTTAAGTACAGAAGACGAAAAGGATAATTTTTATATGCATTTTTCCAATAAATCCTTACAAAATAATATTGTTTTGTAAGTACTCCCTTTTAGTTTGATACTAATTTAAAAATGAATTAGCGTTTTAAAACCGCTCGTTTACATCAGCTAATAGTCCTTGATACGATTATAGAAATTTACATTTCCGATTTTCTGTTTTCGTTTCCTAATAATTAGAACGAATCGCACAGGTAGCCGAGTTTACGAATTATGTGCTTGTTAATTAATAATTACACAGATTTTTAATTACTTCACCGTTTGTACCGAGTCTTAAGAGGAATAACATTTTGTGTAAAAGCAGTTGTAGATACAATGTTACAAAGTTCTCGAAGAATCAAAAAGTATTTGAAAATGAAGCATTTTTATTGGACTGATATTGTTTTTGTCAAGAACGTTTTTTGAACGAAGTGCTTTTTCCGATTTCTACATTCCCAGTTTAGTGCTCGTGAATTTGTGTCAATAATTAATAAAATGAACTATAGAACAACCCCTTAGAAAGTAACATGTGATGTCGTGTTATGTAAATTACATGTTAATAATATTAGCTTTGGTGTTCATTCAGTACCTAATATGAAATGGATTGGATATAATTATAAAGTTCAGATATGTACCTTGCATCCTTCACAAGTGAATGCGCCGAAATGGAACCCGGCCGCTGGTTCTCCACATACTTTGCACTTTTGGTTCATCTGGAAAAATAAAAACAATTGTTATTAAAATTAATTAAAAAATATATAACATGTAAACTAGAAATATATAATACGAATTAGAAGAAAATATATGAAAAATGTGATCACTACAAAGTAAAGAAAAAGCATTTAAAAAATTCACTCGCGGCGCGCACAAACTAACCAATATTGTTGCTCTTATCGCTCGACATAAACGAATATGAAACTGAAAATCCGCCACAGAAACCCAATTCACTGTTAATATGCCATGACCGAGATCGGCCATTTTCCAATCAGTCATTTAGTTGTTAATTTCGAAGAGCATGGGGCATGTTATTGGTTGCATATGCGATAAAATCGTTTTGTATGTATCGATTAAACGATATTAATTGTTGCGATATTATTTCAAATGCGTTACGTGTCGCCTTCTACGCGTTCTATATTTCAAATTTTACTCGGTTTTCAACAGCAACAAGTTTTTATTACATTTTTTTCTTTGACACATTAAATTATTTTTTATCTGTGTGACTGGCCGAATGTCTTTTTTACGATCGTGTTATGTGTCATCGCTGGTGTTTTCTTTGCCTTTTGAGGTAACCAGATCGCGAAGTTTATGTGTAGGTATCTGTCCGTCGGCATCGCTCACACGTTTGCAAATAAAACATAAAAACTCGATACATTTGCATAAAATTCAGAGTGAATAAACTTTATTACGCATAAATGAACAATTTTAATTAAATCGAACTTATTTTTTCACAAAACGACGTCTGCTCCTTATAGAAATAACAATAAAGTCGTAAGTAGTACCTTTTCTGTCAGCGGGTGAGTTATTATAATGACAGTATTACATTTTAATGGTTATTTCGACGGTTTTTACACTTTTAAGCTCGTAATATAATGTAATGTCCATTGTAAATTGACAAAATCGTCTGTTATTAAGAAAATTATGCGATTAACTGAGGAAATATGTTCGAAGCGAGGTAAAAGGAGAAGTTACGAGCTGACGGCAGTCATGTTGGCCTGGCCACTGCGTCACTTCGATATAAGGATCTTGGTTCCTGACGGAGATCCTTGCTCAAGCCGAAATAATGTGGTATTCAGAATCCATTTATTTATAAACATTATAAAGCAACTTTAAGAAAGTTATGTATGCTAAAGTGGACTTTAATGTCTTATTATTTCTGTGAGATATTGGCTTTACATTTTGTAGTAATTTTTAGAATAACTTAGTTGGTTATTATGTTTTCTTGGCTTTTTGTATTTCATGAAAGACAATATTAATGATCGGCACTGACTTTGACTTACTCCACGTTTACCTACAGTTAATCATTTACTGATCATCATAGGTTCAGTTGCATTAAAGATATTTCTCCTCTAATTTGTCCTAGTAGCTACTCAACATTTATAAACATATGGAATTCTTTCCAAAATTATCCCGCTATACTAAGTTGAGTTGCAATAAGCGCCGTACGTCAGACAGATAGTATCAAGGATAATGTACTGCTGTGTAAAAGTATGTACAAGTATTTCGGGTGAACTCGTTTAAAGTAATTACAAGTATTTGTTACAAGGCGCCTAACTGTACACGTGGGAACTTTTGGGATACCGGTGTATTGAGAATGTTACAGGATCGATCACAAGTGTAAATTAATACTGTTTTTATTTTGCAACGACAAAGATGAGTGATGACACGATAATTGTGTATTTCCCACCTTAGATGACTGCCATAATTGCAGTAAAGTTTACAATGACAATAGTCCATACAAAAAACTACAAACCAATAAATATACATAAAGCAAAAGCACATTAAACAAAGATTTCCCCTAAAAACAAATTTCCCACACAATTGCTAACGTAGGAGACAGTTCGAAGATTTATCCGCAGACATAGGAACATAGGAATAAACTTTGTGAAAATTCCCGAGATTCGAATCGGAGACAAAAGGAACAAAAGGCTAGTTGCTACGTAGTAATCCGTTTATCTAGCGCGCGGGGATCGGCAGAGATGCAGGTGGATGCGTACGCGCAGGGTACACGACACTGGATACTTGAAACATTGGAAACTTTGTATCGGTGAAAGTTTTTGAAGTTTTATTTTTTGTGTGTGTTTGTGGGTGAGTACCTATACAGTCATGATTGTTTTTTTTTAAGTATCATTACCTTAAAGGACATACTGTATCGGAAGATATTTGACAATAAACAATATTATCACTTAATATTTGTACTTAAATATTTAAAACAATCTCCTCTAACCTTTTTACTACTATCAAAACCAAACAAAACATATAAAAATTAATACAACAATCTGATCCCACTACCTAATCTATTTTATTATAATTTTCATATAAATAAACCACAGAATTTGTATAATTAAAGTCTCTACACTTTCTCTGTTCTAAGGCAACGTCAACATAAAGTAAATCACGCAGCATGCGATCGCTGCGCGCGCCGCGACGCGACGCCTATCGGTCCACTCGTGCGCACCTCCAAATTAGAACACGATTTCAGGGGTCACTACTATACATATTATTCTTGAATGTTAGTTGACAAAAGGACTTTTCCAATATGTACTTTATAAAATTGTATTGATTATTATTAAATTACAGTTGAAAAATTAGTACTACGCGTCAGCTACCTGCATGCCATCTTATGAGTCTTATGTAATATGGAAGTAATTTAAAAATCGTAAAATCTTGATATCGACCTTTAATCTCTTGCTAAGTAGGTAGTCACAATAACAATCAACTTGAGTAATGATTGTTTTTTCGGAAAATTTAAATAAAATATCTTGATTTGAGAGACGATTCTGATGGATATCAAGATCACATAACACAGTGATGTCACAGCCTACACACATTTATAGGGATCGATTTTAATAATCACTCGTAATCACACATAATTGGTCCAATCAACCGCAACCACAAATAGTATCACTTTAGAATAATTATTTAAAAAAAGAACAAGTATAAACGGTCAGTCGTCTATCGAAAATGATGCGTCACAAATTATTCAATGAAGGGATGTTAGCTTATTAAAACTTTGTCATTGATCATACGTCAAGGTCAATGACCTAAAATATTATGCAAAAATCGAGCGCCGGCGCACACGCTCCGAGTAATCTCGATATACGCGTCCGTAACTCGAAGCAACAGATCGATTCCCTTACTACATGACTTAATTAATTTCTCGCTTGCATTCATCTTTTTAGGGCACTGTCCAGATAACGTAACACAATGGATTATCAACTGTAACTGCGTATTCTAAAGTCGATTTTACTTTGTAATGATTTGGGGTTAACTCAAGCAAATAAATTGAATGCTCATGACAAGTTTCAAGTCGCGAAAGGTTCGCAGTCGAAATAGCTGTCACCGATGTCAGTGCGTCTCCAATTATATATCTCGGTTACAATCTGGAAATGCAATTAGCATATTAATCGCTTCATATTTCGATGATTAAAACCTTCGCTATATTTAAATCGATTTTATTTTGATTTATATTCGAATATAGCCGGATTTAAATTTAAACATACATATATGACTATGTGATTTGTTTTATTATGACTGGTTAATTTAAACATAGTACCCATTCTGTGTTTTTAATAAAATTCAATTTATATATGTCAATCTTGTCGTTTTAATAGACATCGTTTCATTGACACTGCGGCGAGTACAGTAGCTGGAGTGTATTGAACGGCGCGGCGGGCGACAGTTAAACACTCGTCAAAGAGTTCACGAGTGAAGATGGCGCACTTCTTTAAATATTTCATTTCATTGCATCTATATAATTATATCGTAAATCGTTGCTCTGAAACATGGCGATATTACAATCTTTAGAATCATTTCCAGAAATCGTCTATAGCATGGAACATCGGCATCGTGGTGAAGTCCATTAAATACTGAATATGCGCGCTCTTATAGACATTAAATCTAACAGCGCAGGACCAATTTCCGCGCTAACGGTCGCACTTTAAATCAAAAATATCGGTTTTATAGGTTCCATTACTCGTAATACAGATGTTTTTGTATAGGTTGAGATTATCTGCGTACACATTATATTATCCAACTGATTTATAGATTGTTACGCGGAGATGAGTTAATCAGTGAATTAACGCACACAAAAACTTTGAACTTTAAATGCCACTGCGGGCAATGGTGCGAATTGCAATAAATTGTGACAAATCCGTGTGCACTATGCTATAAACATTTCAAGTGTTCATCTAACTGAAGTATATAAACGATCTAGACTCCACAACATACGTGTGCTTATAACGCTAAGAATTTATAACAAGTAATTTTAATTGCACTACACTTTCTACATAACTTTAGCCGTCAACAATCCTAAAAATGATATAAGAGTCCCCATAATGACACCCATACCGTAAGTTATACGATAGTGAGTCGGTGTTCCAGTAGACATGTTATTTGTATCGTGTGAAAGACGACGCGGCCTGTCATTTGGCGTGACCACTATTATCGATGCGCCGACCTCGTGGGAATCTATGGGGTTTATGGGATTCTGAGGCAGGGTTAACAGGTGCATTTGTGGAGCCAAGCGCTGACTGATGGCATGTCGTAATGGCGGATTGACGTGTTTGTGAGGTTCTCTGCCAAGATTGTTGCGGCTTCTTATTTAGTGTTTGAATTTGAAATGGTTTTTCTTTTATTGTGTGCTTTTTGCTTTTATTGCGATTCTAGAAACAGTGTTAAATTAAGATTTATCCGGTCAGTAAACTAAAAGGGGAATTACGTGATGCTAAGTAATCGACAATACCCATGGACATATTAGACATCCAACACAAAAGGGATTAGGAATTTGAGGATAACTGAATCATATCTTCTAAACAACAGCATAAAACTGAATATTACTTTGTCATAACGATTTTTTACGACGATAAACAAGAACAAATTCACCATTGGTCACGAATTTTAAACAAACATACCGTTAATTACACTCCAATACCCCTCCAATCACAATCTACATACATACACACACACAACACTAATTAAACAAGCCAATGACTTATCTAATCTAGATGATCATAAAACAAACGCAGTTTTAAACGTTCTCTTCATGAACTTATATTTTGACATGCACTCGTCACAGCTCTCAGAGCTGTCACACGGACAGACAGACGATCGTGAAACTAATTTGATATTACATTAATATTATATTATGAGCAGACATATTATGGAGTATGGAGTATAGACCTTTGAACCGAAAGATGTTAAGAGGAATATTTAGAGCAGTTTTTTGTTTGGACTTAGATAAAAGAGATTGCGTTTGACGTTCGTAGATAAAAGTCTGATAAATAAGTCTGCAAAAAATTGCTAGTCTTGTTTTAGGCTTTAAAATACATACATAACATCACGCTTTTTATCCCCGAAGGAGTAGGCACTGGTGTACATTACGGCGCTTAATACCACTGTACAATGTAGCACCCACTTTTCACTATTTACATATGTTATGAGTCCCATGTGAGCCTACTGCCATATACCGGGCATAATTCCAGACTCCGTGCTACTACTGATATTTTTTTAAACCCAGTTATACTTTGCCCGACCCGGGAATCCAACCCGAGACCCCTTGCCTGGCAACTGCACTTTCAATCACTCTGCCAATGAGGCAGTCTTAAAATATATAAGTATCTCTGTTTTTATTGGTAGTGGAAATAGTGACGATTGTTCTCTAAACATTCAATGACATGTATAACAATAGTTCTATATAAAAACTAACAACACATTGAAACGTCTAAAAATTCTAGATTATTTATTTAGAAAACACACAGTCTAGTCCTCAACACCTTGAACTTAGATTAGAGAACACGTCAAGTCAAGTTAATATGTATCTTAAGCTCATATTCTCAAGTCATATTTTAAATTGATCAACCAACACTGAAGCCGCAAAGCTCAGCCAATGTCAATCAAATCTTACTAGAAAGAGAATCAGTCGATACCCCATACTTTTGCCATATTCCCATACTTTAGAATACAGGCAAGGTTCTCACAAAGAGTACAAGCAGAGCAGTAAGTGAGCGAGACGAATGTGTAATGGCGCGGGAACCGAACCGACTGCGACTGGCTACAGGGACAAAGTGTATGTGTAGAATAAAATACATATTTATTTGTAGTAAGTCTTTTGGATATTAAGGACTTTTATTAGTTCTTTAGGATATATATTGTGTTTCTTAACTTGTCATTGTTTATTTATTTATTACTAGCTTTTACCCGTGGCTTCGCTCGCGTCACAAAAGGATAAAAAGCCAATGTGACATATACCAATACACACAGCGCCATCTATACCAATACTTTTGTTTTCCCTCGGGAATATCAAATTTTTCCGGGATAAAAAGTACCCTATTATTTAATCCGGACTTCTAACTTTACGTCTGCAAAAATTCAAAGCAATCGGTTTAGTAGTTACGGCGTTAAAGTGGAACAAACAAACAAACAAACAAACTTACTTTCCGATTTATAATATAATAAGTAAAGGATAAGGATAAGGAAGTGAGGATTACTTCTTCACCAAAGATAACAGTAAATGGCGGCCTTTTTTCTAGGATGTTTATCTAAAAGTAGTTCATCAATTTATTATTTTATTTAGTTTTATATGAATGTATGTATGTATGTATAATGTAATAATAATATTGTTTTCTGTTGTATAATGTTAAGTATATGGGTCTGTAGAAATATAATGTGTTACTATAAGAATTATATTTAGAACTCCTCTCGTCTGCGATACAGGATTGTTCTAGTGCAGGCATTTAACATTGTGAGGACAATTATACCTATTTACGATATATTTTTGTATTACGCATTTTTGAATTATGAATAAAATTTATTATTATTAATTTGAAGCTTAAATAGTACTGCCAAATTAGTTTCTACTTATCGACCTGCAAAATTGGTTATTAGAGATCGATTTGTTATTGAAACTGCTTATACCCCAAGCCAATATTAGTTGGATAGATTATAATATTGTATTAGTACAAAATACGAACACCTACAACATTAATTCCAGACATCATCTCTACATTTCGCTGCGGACTCTACATAGAGTCGGCTCTACTCTTGATTTCGTTTTGATAGGTGTTAATTTGTCATGCTCTTGTGGTTCACGCACGTTACACCTGTTAACCGTAACAATATTATTACGAGCCGTCTGTTTGTCTGTCCATCTGTCTTGAAAACTGTATTAAATTGCTAAGTTACTTTTCAAGTTAACGAGGTTTTTTGTAGGAACAAGAAGTAATGTAGCTAAACAAATTATAAACGCGTAGTTTGTTGTCGAGTTAACTGTAAGGGGTTAACTGCCCAGCAATAAAAGTCAGGATAAGATAGTAAACGTTAAATAAATAAATCAAGTTATTGACGACTATGATTAAAATGAACTAAATTGAATATTAAACCATAATATCGATTGGAGCGAAGTACCGTTATAAAATATTAATCTATAAACCGACTAATGAGGTAAACGTAACGAAATGAGTTAGGTATCGTTGAAGGACATTAAAAGGACCGAAGTTCAAAGGTACTCCTGCGCATCGAAACGTGTACAAATGTCCAATTAAATTGATCAATCGATACATGCAGCTTCAATTAGTGTAATACCATCTGGCGAACAGTTCAATTAATATTGCCACTTTAATTGGTCTAGAAACATAGGGACCTAGGCTAAAATGTATACTTAAATTACTAAGATTATTTGTGCAAAAGATAAGTTTATTTTTCAAATAGTTAATGCTACTGCACATTGTTAATGCTACTGGTTTTCAATTAAAATTGTAAATAGTTTCAACTCATTAGTTGGTAATGAGGACACCTGGTTTGTGTGGGTTTTGCATGTAATTGATTGTGTCTTTAGATGTTTCCTGAGCTGACGTTAATTTTAAATGTATCGTGCGTTGCAATTATATTTACTTAGCATTGGAGTTAAATTTATTGTTGCTGTGACTACGTCGCTGGTAAAGTGCTAACAAGTGTAGTTACCGATTAATTGATCCTGTTCTGAGAACGGAGTCTTAGCATTGAGCTTTTTGGTTTTTTAAAAGCACATAATAATATTTTAATTCAATATCTCATTCTCGTAACACGTAAATGTAACATAAATCTAAAAACGTCAACAATGGTCTCACTTACACCCATAATTAACTGCAAACAGTTTAATTACACCACTCGCCGGCAGCTCACACGTTCACTCAATCATTCTCGTTCACTCGTTCACTCTCATTCGTTCAAACAAGGAGCACTCATTGTGTGCACGTGTTGCAGTAATTAATTGTAATTTGTAATTAATACTCACCGCTAAAGCCATATTTTTCCTCGCCGCCGCACCGTTTGTTATACTAATATGATAATTGATGGCTAATGGCGAAAATTGCTTTGTTCGTTACACCTTTTTTATAAGAAACCAGGTCTGTAAACACGCCAATGAATTAGACAATCATTTCATAATGGCGACTGATACTAATAATTGTTTTCGATTATCGAAAAAAAATTCTCACGTTGCCACACAAAATGTCGATGCGAAATTTTGTAAACTCATCTCGTCAAATGTTACCATAACCTATAATATTGTTAATGACGAGTGAAATAAAGATCTGAAAGAGATATGCAACAGAAAGGTCATCAATAAAAAATGGGCACTCACAAACATAACGATTTTTCATTTGATTATTTGTCATATCAAAAGGGGCTCACCTCTGATCTAAACGATTCCGTTAACCAATCGATTGTCGATAAAAACTTATGATTAATCGATCCTAATTGATATAATTCATCCCTTTAGGCAGCAGGACGTCTGTCACGTGACTTGTAAGCGTGACATGCGCATTTTTGACAGTTCGTGACTAATTGTTGTGACAAAATATTTCAACAGTTGCGTCAATCTGTTATTGGAACAACCCTCATTATGGAATCCCACGAAGCTCAACTATTGAACGATTTGTCTCTATAAAACCTCACACGTATTCCATTGTAATAAAGTTCAGAATGTAACAGTAAATTGATTCGCGAATGTTGTTTCGGAATGGAATGTAAAGGGACCAATGACGTTGCGCAATCAATTCAAATTTTGGAATTGGAATGAATGAATTCAGTTTGGAATTGTTGAACGTTATTGATCATCTGTGTGAGGCATGCATAGTATTTGATGACTTGGAACTTGTGATATGCAGATGCATGTAAGGAATTGAATTTATTATCAAAAGAATTATGTTGCAAGAACATCTGCTCAGCATGAGATGACAAGCGATTTGGCTAATCATTTATAAGTAACAGTTAGTCGTATTAACTATATCTTTCAGGAGTGTTTGCTGGTGTACCTGATGGAAAGCGGTTACTGTACCCTATGGACTTCTGAAACATCGATATCGAGTTGCTGATTAATAATTAAAGCTGTATTAAATTTCCTGATGAAGACATTTCAAAAGTTAACATACCTATGAGGAAAGATACATACGTCACTCTGATCGAACCTTATCTTCTCATCAACGATTACCAGCGAAAAAATCATAAAGAATTAATTCATTAACCTCTATAGAACCATCAGATGTCTCTTAAAAATGTCAATAGACGGACAAATCCCATTATGTTATATACGGATTTAAATAATAGACTAGATTAGACCTTTCTACGTCTATTATATTATTGTTAAGTTCGGCTCCGACCTTTGACACAGGAATCGAACCGATGAGTGGTGTATTCGTGGTTTATCATGTACTGCTTCACCTGACTGCTTTTTTGTTATTACTGCTATTGTTTGATGTAACTTATACTTTGGTATTAAGGTGGAGTACTGTTGACGCGCTTTTTGATTTATTGGTCATTAATATTGTAGTTTGATTACTTATTTACGGTATAGGCATTATTTGTTTACGTTCATAGTGGAAAATATTACCAATTCATTGATATCATGAAATAAGTCTTTAATTACTTTAGGTATTACAAAATGATGAAGTTGAAAATTGGTACCAAAAAGATACATTAGCTTGCTTTGTTATCATTTATAATTAATACTAATGTTCAATATGGATTTCTATTCCAGTGCCTGTTTACGATACTGTTATACTTCTAAGTCTGTAGCTAAAACATTTTGACAAATCGTCTCAGTAAAACAGCACCTTAAGTCGGAGTAGCCTGTAATGCTTAGTCATCGATTCGCTTCCCATGACAAGTGACCTGTGTCGCTCTATCTCAGTAGAGCATCTACGGTATCTACACGCTGGGATCGCGATTCGGAGCAAAATCATAGCGATACTGTTTGTGGCGCTAACTTACATTTTGGTAACAAAAAATAATGTATTACGAAGTTTAGTCATAAAGTATATTTAAGAATGTTTGGAAACTGATGATCAACTTGAAATTATGATCAGCCTGTATCTGTACCATTCTTCGACAAGTAGGAAATGAATCAAAGGAAGTTTTTAAAATGAATAATAACTGAAATCTGAAAAGCATCTTAGTGTTACCCTAATACGCGAATTTAAAAGTAATATAAGATGATTAAACTCTCAACTACTTAGGTACGTTAAAACTCATTATCGAATGTTACATAAAATACAGTATTCTATTTAATCTATCTATCTCTTTGATGGACATGCAACACACGTTACCTACTTAGGTAACATCAGTTAGATTGGACATCGATTCACATCGACAATAATGTTAATTAAATCATTATTGAAACACTTCAAATCTTCAAATCTTTGAAGACAACCGTGTCTCGATTTAATAAGTATTTCATATATCAATCCAAAGTTAATGAGATATAGAATTATTGCGTAAAAAAATCGATATAATAATGAAATGATTCCTTTTAATTTGAGCGACAAGCTTCATTACATCGACAAAATGATATTACACGATCAAATGACATCACTAATATGATTTAAAAAACATGAATACATTATGACTATTAAGTCGTCAAAGTAAGCGACCGTCTGTCGTTATATTGTCACTTACAATGGTCGCACCGAATCGATTCAATTCATAATCGGATCGGAATACAATGATATTGATACCCACGCGATCGAGTACTGCGCTTGTTGAAAGTAGTCGTGGTATATTTAGAGGCTGATTAATTGATTTAGATCTGTAATGTGCTAAGTGATACTAGGTCTAGGATGCAGGTGTCTATTGTCCAATGTCTGTATGAAATGGCCTCAATCCCTGCCTACGTTAATGAGATTATAGTGGGAGATGCGTCTAGGAAAGTGAGTACTCCATAAGTTGCACTGACTCCAATTGAAAATAACAAGATTGTTCAGCATACCCGCCGCAAAGAACGTTTCCCTCCGACTTTTACTATGATAATAATAATAAACCTTACCATTCAGATTAAAGAAAGAAAGTAAAGTATGAATGTTCAACATTTTGCGCAAGTCGTAAGATTTAACTGAGGAAATGGTTTGTATTGGTGCAAGCCAACTCTTTACTATTTATGAGGCACATTACTACACATCAAACAATGAACACATCGCAGCGAGCGTGGCGGGCGACTTCAAATATCCAAATACAAAACGCTAACTATTTATTAACAATACAAGCTCATTACTTCAAATAGAAGGAATTAACATGCAAGATTTGCTGTAACAGCAGTCGAGGAAATAGTAAAAAGTGTTATCGGTCGGGCTGAGACTAAAATGTTAGCGAATAGTAAAACAATTTGCACTAAAAAGGTTTAACAATGAGTAATTGTGTCGGGCGTACGAGTAAAAAACGCAAGTGTCGGCACATGAAAGGACAAAGGCGGTCTCCGCGCGCGCCGAAACAAATGCCGTCGTAAAACAGATCTATTCGCAGAAAAGAAATTTTGCACAAGTTACGCTTTAGCGAAGCATTGTGCTGGGCTTTAGAGGTACCGCTGTGTGGTGTAGAGAGCCGCTGAGGAAATGTGGCTTTTATAGCTACTCGTGCTTACTGTGGGATAGCTCCGAGACCTGCCAAGTGAAGGGGTGAGCTCTTTGTAAAGTACTACTCAGACCGTCGATGAAATGTTCAGTTACATGTTCTTGTATTCTGTATTCTGCAGTAGCAGTGTCGTCAGGTACTCCAATACATCGAGGTGTATTAACTATCTATACATTGTGTCAGTAAAGCTTTTAATTCATATTTACAACATTTTGATGGTTCATGTAATAACTCCTTGATATTTACGATGCAAATTCCTTTTACGAGTATTTTATGAAATTAATAAATTAAGTATATTACTTGGTTGGTCTAATGATTATAACCGATTGAAGTATCGGATTCGATTCCTGGGTGGTATACAGCTTTAACGGACCATCTGTAATGGGTTGCTAGCTAATTGTAGAGCTTTATGAAGGTTCTTATTTTATTGCCTGAATTTTTATCTTTACTGTCGCAAAAAATTAACATTCTTACATTTTTTTTGTAGTAATTGTGAATCATTTAACATACCAGTCACATCCATTAACATACCTATTCTCCTCAATAGATCGACGGCTACACTGAACAGCTTATATTTGCCCGATGAATTATAGCCAATAATTTGCGACAAACTGATTAAGATTCAAGTATTTATAGTTCTCAATATCAGCCCATTGACACTGACAGGTGACGTCACCCCAAAAAGCCGGATTCTCGACAGATAGGTATAGCGGGGCACGCGGTGCGCATGCGTGCAACGCTGACGAACGATTGGCCGCTGTCGCCCCGCCTCGCATTGCGCAAGCGACGCACGTTATCGTTCACTCGTGCTCGACAATTAGTTGTTAACTTGTTAATGTCAAACTGGTTTAAACGTTATATAATCGAAGGGTTGGGGTTTTAATTAGACATGTTTCTTATACATTATTAAAACAATAATGAACGTTACTATAACTTCACTGTGATGTCTAGTCAATTATTATTCAGGACAACCTAGCAACCCTAGCAACCTAAGCCGATGCTTCAATGAATCGATCCAATGTATGTTTAATTGTATTGTTATAGTATTTGGTTTGGCCTTTAGTCTTTAGTATATAAGAGCTGTAATTAAGGGCGTAAAACAGGTAGATGTGCCTCCTTGTAACGCTTCAGAGTTCAGTGATAATCATTACATCAGTGTCATCAATTTATCCACATCGCAACTGCGATAATCTAAAAAGCTATTACAAAATAATCTATCCCACATGGAAATCAATTTCATTTTATATTCTTACTGAAAATATAAGTAAGAACGTCGGTATAAAGCGCATTTTAACATTGTAATTAGCTGCTCTCCGCTAATGAAAACTAGTTTAGTTTCATTGTAATACACGGACATAATACTTAATTATATGTATGTATGGACTCGTACGACCAACAATTACA